ATATACTACAAATAAATTTATATATCAGATATATAGTATATAATTTTTCTATAATTTCTCAAGTACATGAGAAAAATACATAACTACCAACATTTAAAAATATACTTTCAAACTTGACAAACATGTGATTTTAATTTTTTTTTTCAAAAATCGGATGGTATTAATTAATTAAGTATTTTAATAAATCAATGTCATAATAATATATAATTTATGACCACAATTACATACTAGTCACAAATCATAAAACGACACAGTCACAAAGGCATAAAATATGATCACAATTGAAATTTAGCCAAAAATAATACATTTTTGTAGATCACAATTTATTCATAAGTTACAAAATTATTAAATTAATTGGGCACAACTTATTTATTGATCATAGACTATTAAATTAATTATTCTTATTTTTCGATCACAAATTATTAAATTAATTGATGACAATTTATTTATCTATCACAAATTATCATATTAATTGATCATAATTACCCAATTAGCTAGTTGACTATTACCATTCATCCATCCCCACCCCATTTCACTCCACTCCACCGTCAGCATCACGCAAAATGCCATGTTGTCACCTCACGACGATCACAACCACCTCCTCCAATGCGCACACCACCACCACCACCACCACCTGCACCTCCTCCTCCTCCAATCCACAAACTCCATGATCACCAGCATTGCTTACAACGTCACTACTAACACAACCACAACTACATCAATATTCAAAACCACCACCACCATAAATCCATAACAAAATCGTCGAATCCAGCATCGGACCACAGTCTTCTCACCATCGTCAATCGATTCCTTCACATTGCTACCTTCAAAACTCACCATAAAAAAATTTCCTCATCCCACAGTCGCCAATTGAGCTTATATCATTGATCACCATCTCTACCATACCATACCATAACATAACCACCACCACCACCTACACCTCCACTTAAATCTTGAAATTGCTCGTTGATACTCATGGATCTTGTTGAAGAATAGTACATCGTTGCTACATGAGAGGAGGCTGGTGGCATCAAGAGATAGATGTAGCGAAATCGGCGAGATCACTTTGTGACAGGGCACGAACAATTTGTTGATGGTGCCGATATGTGTTGGAGAAGGTGTGGGTCGACCAGAGGTAGAGAAGGCTGTAACGACCCGATCTCACGCCGCAACCATTATCTTACGAACTGTCCGCTCAAGGGTGGGCTTCAGCCCACTTATCCCCTCACGGCTTTCTAACGCCAACCCCATCCACTTATCCCCTCACGGCTTTCTAACGCGTCCCCCAAAATTCGAACCCAAGACCTCCATCATATGGGAGATTTAAGTTGAATCCTGGTGCCAATTGGACAAGTTGTCGAAAAACTCTCTTTCAGATCTAGATGCATCCTTTCGTTCACATTCTTCCTCTTTTCCAAGAATTTTTGTTGATTGTAAAATATTGATCAATAAAGTCCTTTTAACATAGTTTTGTTACCTTTTGTTAATGGTTGAGGTTGAGCATTATAAGGTTTCGCATTAGAAATGTCCACCGAAAGTGATATCGGTCCACAAAGTCAAGATAGTATCATGAATGATGATCAGGATTATCATTAATGATATTTGTAAAATTAATTGACAATATTAAGCTTGCCTATATAAATGATGGGAAGTAGGCTGTGGGGCTAATGGCCCGAGCCCAATATGAAATTACTTAGTTCAATTGATCCAATGTCATTAACATAATCACTTGAGGTGGAGTCAGCATGTTGGCTCCTTCCGCCTCGTGCATACTATGTAATTTTTGAGGATAACAATATTTTATACACGTTAATTAGATGAGTGATTACTTTTTGATCACTACTTGTTAAATAAAAATAGTTAACGGTGCTCACTCGATAATTTATACCTTTATCCATCCATCAACGAAATCATTTTCCTTTGTCCAAGTATTTTATCTTTCTTTAGAGACAAACCTACCCTACCCTCTTTCAATTTTCCGTCTATTCTCTTTCGATTAATATTCACGGTTCCCACGCGTGGCCAATTAATCCGTTTCCATTAAAAATATTCCATTAAAGACAGCATAAACGTGTTTCGGCTTAGACACTGCATCACTAATTGCCAGTTGACCGTGGAAAAATCGGAGGTGTTTGCAAATAATCGGAGAATATGGAATTGGATAGCGACGAAAAGGAGCTCAAGGCCGCCGGAGCAGAGCCGCTCGACGGCGGCCGACTTGGTCTTCGCATTCGTGGGTGGGAAATCGAATCGCGCAAGTTCCCCATTCTCAACTCTTCGCTTCTCCAACAGTATATCCTATCATTCCCTCTTTTTCTTCATTGCAATTTGTATATCATTTTAATATTGCGTTATCAAAACTGTAGCTATTAGTTTGTTTGAGGAGCAATTAATAAGTGTGATAAGGCTTCTGATCAAGAAGTAAATTTGACATTTCTGCCGATCATTTGGAACACTGATTCATAGTTATGGGTTTTGTTTGGAGTTTTTCTCGAAAATTGCTAAGCTGCAGGGAATTAATTCGAGATTTGAAATTCAAGGTTTTAATTTGGTAATAAAAAGATTAGGGTTTAGCTCCTCTTTGGCGTTGAGGCAAGGCTTACGCTCAAGATATATTATTTTCCACCATTGTTTGTTTTTAGGACTTGTCCCGCTATTACATGGGTCGTAGGCTTATCCTTCCTAATTATTGTTATTGCCATTTTTTTATGCGGTACATTGTCAGAAATTAGAAAAAGAAAATTGTTGTTATGAAAAGCTAAACATAATGATTACGATGGGGCATATCAACAGCACTGAGAAAGGATTCAAGTTGATTTGGTTGTATTTTCAACTCTGTCGAATGCAATCGTGGTTGGGAAATTTCCATAGCAACTGTAATTGAGTTTCGTTAGTCACCCTGTTTTCAATAAATAGAGTTTATGAACTTTAAAGTGCTTCTTCTCCAAAGAGTCTGGCAGAACTTGAATTTTTGCCATCTAAACTTGGTTGGAGAAAATATCTTATTATTAGATCTCATTTTAATTGGTTGGTCAAGTTAGGTTATGGCATTATGCCTAAAAAAGTTGAACAGAGGCAGTCCAAAGACGTGTGCTCCTGGTTCTTACAGGACATGCTTAAGGAAAGTTGTTCTGGAAAGAAAATGCTTTGATCTTTTCAGTGGACTGCAGTGTAGGACAGTCCAAAGCTGGTAGGTTAATGTTGACTGTGTTATGCCATGTACGTTTAAGCAATTAAGGGGTACTTCACTGTTTCATTAAGCATGTAGTATTTTTTTTCAAGTGCCGCGGAAGGATTTAAGTGCATATCCATTTCATTGAATAATAATGCTTGTGTTGGAGCAGATGCTGGTTAGAACCATTGTATCCTTTTATATTTTGTATTGCTTTGGCCTCTTGATATATATATATATATTGTTCCGTATCGTGGAGAAATTTAATCATTAATTGCCTTACATCCTCTTTGTCTATAGGTGGGAACAGAAGCTTCAGACATCCCACTTTCCAGAGATGATTTTTGGGGAAAGTTCTTTGGTTCTTAAGCACGTGAATAGTGGCGTTAAGATTCATTTTAATGCATTTGATGCTCTCCTTGGTTGGAAGCAGGAGTCATTACCACCAGTGGAAGTTCCTGCTGCTGCACAATGGAAATTCAGAAGGTAAATACACCAGATTTCATTACTGGTGCCTGAAACTGTAGATGCTTTCCCATGAAACTCTCAGATGAATGCTTGTTGTTAATTCAAAACCCTCAATTTACTAGTTTGGGCTATTGTTTGGTGCAAATGTAGACAAACTCATTGTCATAGCTATTATGTTTGCCTTATCATTTAGTTAGTGAGGAAAATATCTAAATGGGTGAAGTTTTGGGTATTTGACAGACCACATAGGATTGAAATTAAGATTTCATAATCATTTTGGATTTGTTCGTGGCAGATCGACTATGAAGGCAATTAATTTGAGATTGATGGAGTGATATATGAAAGAAAAAGTATCTTTGGCTATTTATATTGATTTAGAAAAGGAGAATTGTGGGATTGCAACAAACGTGCTATGATGTTTATTTGAAAAGAATGGAAAAATGGGTAATTGATATTGTTGATTATATGTATGCGTGGATTATGTCCATGGTGAGAACAAGTGCAGGAAAATCTAGTGAATTCTTATTATCATACAATTGCATTTGTGTTCAGCTTTAAGCCCATGATTATTTGTTTAATTATGATGGATGATGAATAAGAAGATGCAACATGAGGTTCTATGCTATATATTCTTGTATGTGATATCATTTTGGTAGATAAGAAGAATTAGTTTAAATTATATTTGTGGATTGAGTATCTAGATATAAAATAGTTCAAAATTAGTTGAAGTAAGCCTAAGCACATGAAGTGTTAATTTAGTCAATGTCGAATTTCATGCAAAAGGACCTATAAAAATTTATCGAGTTCCTTCTCTCTCTGTACTGGAAGTAGAGTGTCATGAATACTAAATAATTGCTACATTATCTCATCTTCTCTCTGTGTATTCCTCACTCTCTCATTCTTTTTATCTTCTAAATTCTGCAGCAAACCTGATCATCAGGTGATACTTGATTATGACTATACCTTCACAACACCATACTGTGGAACCGATAGTATTGAGACGAATGCTAAGGTGTGTGCACTTTCTCTGATGCATCTGAGCTGTACTCAAAGCTGAGGGGCTTTTCCATTCTAACATTTCTCTAGTATTTGATGGGAAATCAAGATAGTTAATTTATATTAGTATTGTACTTTGACTAGAATTAGGTTATTGTTTGATATGTTTTCTAGTTTGACTAAATTAGGGTTTATTTACTTGTTTCCTTCTCAAATTAGATTTGCTTAGCCTCTATGTAAAGAGGGTTTATTCATTGTAACATGTACCACTTGTATATTGAAATAAAAAATTATATCTCTTCCCTCCAAATTCTCTTTCTCCTTTTCTCAATATTGATCTTGTTCGTGCATTTGTCATCAGTATTGTTATAAGTTTGAGATGGTGATGCCGATTGGTCATGCCTAGTTAAACCGTTTTCTTGAGATCCCTTTTTCCCATGTTCTGCAATCGGCCTCGCCTTGAAATTAGTAATAAGTTTCATATACACTTCTATCACAGTTTGTGAGAAACATAGATTGCCCATTTTGCTCTGAACATAGAGGGTATTTAACTTTGCATTAGATGCTGTTTATCATTAAATTCCTAAGGTTATTCTTGATGTTAATCTTCATTAGCCTGGAAGAGGAGCTCGTTGGGAAGACTGCGATGAGAAAATTGACATGGTTGCCTTGGCATCAAAAGAGCCTATTCTTTTCTATGATGAGGTTTGTGATCAAATGATAGGTGACATCTGGAGCTTTGTGTAACACATCTTTTACCTTCTTTTTTCCCCTGCTCTATTTCTTTACAATGGCACAAATGTAAAATTTAATACCTTGACAGGTCATCTTGTATGAAGATGAATTAGCTGACAGCGGTGTCTCTCTTTTGACAGTTAAAGTGGTAATCACAGATCTTTGCTTTAATTACTGGTCTTTTTTTTTTTTTTGGATGGTGTAGATCTTATTATGTTTGTTGCAATTTGTAGAGAGTCATGCCCAGTGGTTGGTTTCTTCTCTTGCGTTTTTGGGTGAGTCTCTTCTAATGAATAACACTTGTCATAATACGTTCTTTTGGTGAATCAACATTCACAAATGTTATTTACTAAAAGGTTGCTCAAAACTGAATTATTGAACTCACATTTCTTTGTTCAGTTTCTTTTTGTTTTCACTGTTGAATTTATCATCAGTTGGAGGGTGTATGCTCTGAGAAAACACTCAGAATTTATGGATTGTTTCCTCATTTAGAACCATTTTTGTTGCTGCGTATTTATTGTTGGATGTACTCTTATAGCTGAGAGTGGATGGAGTGCTTATGAGATTAAGGGAAACGCGTATGCATTGCATTTTTGGGGAAAGTTCGTTGCCCATTATTCTTCGAGAAATCTGCTGGAGAGAAGCCACATTTCAAGCCTTGTCATTGGTACGTGTTCTCTCTGTTTGCTCCCCCTCCCCCCACAACAATGCACACCACACGCTGACCCAGAAAATGAAAAACACCCAGTACATTAGGAAATCCTTATACCGTACTGGTTAGCTATATGATAACTATATTTTTCCAAGTTCACATCTTAAAACAATTTTGATTGTTCACTATATCCTGGGGGGTTGAACGAGATTTCATAATTATACGTGTGCAGTGGTAGCATATATATTTTGTCATATCCTGTGTGGTGCTGCTACCACCTAGTTGAAATTTTGAGTTTTGGGTAAAACTAGAAAAAAAGATAGCTAGTTTTTAAAATATTAAATAACTATTTGAAGAATTTTTGATGTGTAGAAGGAGTAAAGTTAAATTAAATCTAACAACTAAAAAGAGAAAAAGGATTGTAATATTTCTCCTAGATTCTAACATTACATTTTTAAAATACTTACATAATTCAACCGGGGCAACTGGTTTTACCATCGAGTCTAGTGACCCGGTGCTTGGCCGGGTTAAGTGGTGTCAAGTTTGTTAAATGTGGTATGAATGGTCATTCCTTTTCACAAGTTTAACTTATTGGAAGTTGAAAGAGGCCTGGTTGGATGACAGTGCATTTAATTCACATTCTCTACTTCCAATATGTCTGGGTATCTTTGAAAGTTTGAAGTTTGCATTTCAAATTAATTCTTGATAAGATCTTTCTTTGTATTGAGCTTTGTTTTCATCTTCTAAAATGACTCATTTTTTCTCAATAATCTGGTGCAGAAAGGATATCCTACTGATTCTGCTTCTTATAATGATCCTGGCATCATCTGCAAAAGGCTCCCAATCATCATGCACAAGACCCAAAAGCTTTCTATCACATAGATCGTGTAAGCTTTAATGAATTCTTAATATTTTATTTATATTTGAAGAAACCCATAACCAATCTTGTTGGAGAAAAGCAAAAGGGGTTATTTATAATTGTGAGTATTATTTTTATAATTGCAGAAACCACAAGTAATCTTCATGGGGAAAGAAATAGAAGAAAAAATATGTGTTCTTCATATTGTGAACCCTATACGCTAGCTTGCAGTTTCTTGTTCTTTCCTCTCATGTTTGATTTGTCATAATGTTGAGTAATCCCAGTAAATGAAAACAAATCACCAGCGCACTTTTAATGCACATGTAATAGATAAGACTAAATTTAAATAAAAGAATATGTAACATCTTTATCGGCTTAAACAATACCACTAATTAACAGTGTTATTAAACCCGGACCGGACTGGCCAGTTCTGTCCGGAAATTGGCAAACCGGACCATGGTCCAGTCTGGGTGTCTCAATTTTGTAACTGTGCCTGCAACCCGTTGAAAATCCATATGAACTGTTGCTTTTTTAAATAACCCACTGGCCCAAATACTTTATATAAAAACTCAATTTCATCATCTCTCATTCTGCCATTCATGGTACGATGCCCTTAAGCCTATAGCAGAAATGCAGCTTCAGCCGTCTCTTGCAATTCCACTAATTATATAAGTCTAAAATTTAAGGTTTTCTTTGTAAATTTCAATTTTTTGCCATTAAAATATGTGAAAAAAATTATTCTGCGCCGATGAATTTTGGAAGATTTTCACTAGAATTCCATGTTATTTGTCTGTGTGTTGTCTACTATGATTGTGTTTTACATGTAATTCCATGGGTGAATTTGGAATCGATTTTTTGGTTAGCTTTTGCAATTTATGACTTTTTGTTTAATTAGTGAATGCTTGGGTCACTGATTTCACTTGGAGAAATTGGGGGTGAATACATTGTAGAATCAATAATTTAAAATCAACAGAAAATTTTAATTTTAAGATTTATTCTCCAGTCCCTTAATTAGCCAATTGAAAGTAGGTGAAAATGATCATAAGAAATTGAAAAGCAGGTGAAAAATGTAAATTGATCTACTATGATTATCAGTTCGTAGAAACTTTGCAGACAACCAGGACAATGTGCAGCCAACAGAAAATTCATCACTTTGAATTATGCTCATTCGTTAATAGAGCTTAGAGATTATACATAATCACACAACTAGTATATTCTTTTAGTATGTGAAGCGATCTTGCTGAATTTTGGCACATAAAGTAGTTTTTGGTCACTGGTGGTTGATTTTATTATTGCAAATGGATTTTTCACAACATATGATATAGTTTTTGATGAATTCTGGCATACATATTGATCTTTTGTCACCGAAATAACATAAGGTTAATTTAGTTAGTTGTAAAAAATATCAAAATTTTATTATACAATGAAAATAGTTAATAATATATTTGACAGGAATTGACTCGCTGATTGAACCATTGACCTGCCGCATTGTTCGGGTCAACATTCGGGTTGGGTTCGACAACTAGGCTAGTTAGTGCTATACTGTGATTAGCTATTTAGCTTCCTCTTCGCCTTACCCCTTCTTGTCAGCGTCACCCTACTACCATCTACCGCCATACTACCGGTATTTAACTGTCTAGTGTCCACCTTCTCTACCTGTCTAAATTAAACCCAGCATTTGGTTGTGGTTTAACCTTGGCAATGAGCACCTTAAGTAAAAATTGGTTAGCTGCCATAGCTCATAGTTCCTCATAGGACTACAGTTAGGAAGTCATTAAGGTTCCAGCTTCATTCGGTTCCTTGATAGACTACAAGGGTATGTTTGGCACATACTGTGTTATTGTGAATTCACTTTTCAGTTTTAAACTTGAAAAAGAAGACTATTTATGTCATTAGGCAAGTAGGTCATCCATGCTCGTGCTCCTATTCTCCATTTCAGCACACTCCCCTCCATTTCTTTGCTCAACCTCCATCCAACCCCGTCCTTATATTCCTCGCCGGAGAAAATCAAACCCAGATTTAGTGAACGCCGACCACCTCCTGTGTATTGTTTCTGAAACTGAACGCCACAATCGTTTGAAGCCTTCCACGCGGCAATTTCGGTGCCAGTGGCGTTGTCGCATAAAACTGCATCAAATGTAGCTACATTTCCTTCCACATCTTGGTACCACCTACAATTTTTCATTTTTGTCGATGATGCCATTCTTGTCATTGTCTTCACCTTAGGAACTTTTGATTTTCCATAAGTACCCTTCAAACTCTTTTGCATTTCCATCTCTCTTTTCATATTGTCAGTTGACTGGCCCAAGCTCATCCCGCCCACATAGCTTGCACCCACTTGCGGCCCGATTCAAACCCGGATTCTTGATGGAAAATACTTCTCATCCATCCAATCACCATCCTCATCATTTTTCTTAAACCCTAATTTCACCACGTGGAAACACAGGTTGTCGATATGTGCTTTCACTTGGATAAATCCGTTGTTGAATCCCACTGTACATTCCAATTGGAATACAGCCTCAAGCTGCTGGTGTGCTAGTGCATACTTCAGTACAGATTCTTTGGCTTCAATAATAGGAGGGAATTGATAATTTTTACGACCATTATTATTGCATTGCATAGATTTCACTGGAGAGTAGCCTTTCAGAATCCATAACCCACGAGACTCCGTGGCATACGAAAATCCAAGATTATGAGATGGCAATGGTGCCAAAGACTGTAATCCAACTTCAATATCACTATAAACCAACCATTTTGCTGCTATGTACCAAAAAGTCCGCATGAAGCAAATTTCCACGCCCGTTCCTACGGTGAAGAAGAAATTACGAAGAACTGGAGTGGCTTTATGTGAGAAAGTTTCGAGGTTTGGAGCAAGCAACGAATGGAAATACAGGGAGCCAACTTCTGAAGGTGCGACGCAACTCGCACGCACATAGCCAGAAAAGGTGAGCGAAGAAGATAAAGTTGAAGAAATTCGAGAAAGATCTGGTGAATGCGAGTCCAGAATCCATGAAACCGGCTCAGATTTCAGCTTCTGAAGCTGTGAACGACGGCAAGTGCTATCATGTGCGGTGGGGGAACGGAATACTATCTCTTGAAGGAGTTGGAGTATTAGAGGCAAGAATGGCTTGTCTGAAGCCAAGGGACACGTATCAGAATTCCAAATGATTATCTGTGCTGCACTAGAAGAGTTAATGACTCTAGAAAGCGTATAGAGAAAGTGAGGAACGATTCTGAGTCGGATCCAAATGTTCTCTCTGCTCTAAGTTCCATTGTTTGATCTGAGTTGTTGAGTAGGGTAGGTTTGGAAGCTGCAAGTAGGAAAGTTTCAGGTGAGTTTGACTCGCTCCACTTGTCCGAGTCGGAGAGTTCACACATCCATGACCATATATCCATATTTTCTTGGTGTAATGTCTCTTTCTTTTAGGGATTTTGGTGTTTTAAGATTCTTGAATATGGAGAAGAGGGGTGGGGATTATAGAGAGAATGAGTGATGGAAAGGTTGCCAACTTGAAGTAAGTATTGTGGGTTCAAAGGAATCGAACTTCGTGGTTATGGATGAGACTTGTATGTTTGTATCAAATCCAACAGAAATCACAGATGGATTCTTCTAGTTGTCAAGCGCCCATTAGTTCTAGAAATTTGTTTGTTAGTTGCCAAATGTAATTCCCGCCTATTCCCACCTCCCCCGCCCCCGCCCCCGCCCCCACCCCTTTTTTGGGTTTGATATTTATACCATGTAAATACCTCATTTGTAATAAATGATCAGATTTTTCATTCTCCAATATTCTTTCTATTTCACAATATGGTATCAGAGAATATTCTTCATCTTCTTCGTCTTTGAGCATTGATTATTCATGGCGGATTTTCCTATTCAAAATTAACTTATTCAAAATTTATCTTCATCAATGAGTCAATCAGCCGTTGATGATGTCTCTAGTGCTCATTACCTCCATCACTCAGACAATCCAGGTCTAGTTCTGGTTTCTCAGCCTTTGACTGGTGAAAATTACTCTTCATGGAGTCGTGCTATGACTATAGCGCTCTCAGTGAAAAATAAACTCGATTTTATTAATGGATTTGTCATTAAACTTGAAGAAAATGCAGATCTTCTCAACTCTTGGATTCGAAATAACAACATTGTTATTTCGTGGATCCTTAATTCCGTTTCGAAGGAGATCTCAGCGAATATTATATATTCAGAATATGCTAAAGAGATTTGGCTTGATCTGAAGGAGCTATTCCAACAAAGAAATGGCTCTCGAATCTTCCAATTGAGAAGAGATTTAATGAATCATATGCAAGGCCAGTTGTCTGTTAATGCCTATTTTACTAAGTTGAAAACTATTTGGGAAGAGTTTAGCAATTATCGCCCTTCATGTTCTTGTGGAAAATGTGATTGTGGGGGAAATAAGAACTTGGCTGAACACTATCACATGGAGTATGTGATGCCTTTTTTGATGAGTTTAAATGATTCGTATGCACAAGTTAGAGGACAATTACTGCTCATGGATCATATTCCACTAATCAACAAAGTTTTTTCACTTATAACTCAAGAAGAGCATCAAAGATCTGTAAATATTACTATTGGAGCTGGTGATTCTATGACCTTTTTTCCTAAAAATGATGTTAAAAGGACACGCATGGGGCAAAACTATGGTAGAAATCAGAAGAAAAAGAGGCATGTTTGTACTTATTATGGTGGTGTAGGCCATGTGGTTGATAGATGCTACAAGCTCCATGGATTTCCACCAGGATTCAAATCAAGGCAGAAACCAAATTCAGCTAATCAGATGGAATCCAGTGGAAGCAATCAAACATGTTACAATGTTCATTCTAATAATGTCATTGCTAATCAAGTTTCTGATTCTGTTCCAGAAAAAACTGTTGGGAATGTTGGCAGCTTTATGCACAAATTGAACCCTGATCAATATCAACATTTAATGAGTCTACTGAGCACACATCTTTCAGATGCAAAGTTGCAGGATGAAGGTGCTAATTCTGGGCATGAATCATGTACATGTCTCACTGTTTTCATTAACCAAGTACTCAGTCCTTCTACACAATGGGTACTAGATTCAGGGGCCACCAGTCATGTTTGTTTCAATTATGAGTCGTTTCAAACATTGAAGGCTGTGAATAATGTTTTCATCACACTACCCAATCACATCAGAATCCCAGTACAATTGGTTGGAAATGTAATGCTAAGTCCTGAATTAATCCTTGAAGATGTGTTATATGTACAACAATTTAAGTTCAATCTATTATCCATCAGTACTTTAACAAGGAGTTCCAACATCAATGTTAGATTTTTCATTGATCATTGTCATATTTAGGACATATACAGCTCGAAGATGATTGGCAGGGCTAAGAGAGTTGATGGTCTTTACATACTTGATGCAATTAAAGTAGTAAGCAATGGAATGAAGAATGAATGTAACTTTTCTGAAGTTGTCTGTAATCCTGTTTTTTCTGTTGTAAATAATGTGCCTTCACATGTTTGGCATAATCATCTTGGTCATTTGTCATTCAGAAGACTGGAAACTTCGATAGATCAACTCAATTTTAAGAATGATAAGTGTAATTCACCATGTTACATTTGTCCATTGGCTAAACAAAGAAGATTGTCATTTATCTCTAACAATCATTTGTCTGCAAATCCCTTTGACCTCATTCATTGTGACACTTGGGGTCCATATAGTTCTCCAACACGTGATGGTTACAGAAACTTTCTCACCCTAGTAGATGATTGCACGAGATTCACCTGGGTTTATCTCATGAGGCATAAATCTGATGTTCATACCATCATTCCTAAATTTTTCAGTCTTATTGAGACACAATTCCAGAAGGTTATTAAAGTCTTCAGATTTGACAATGCCCTTAAGTTACATTTCAAAGAATTTTTCAGTTCCAAAGGCGTGCTTCACCAATTTTCATGTGTTGAATGCCCTGAGCGGAATTCAGTGGTTGAAAGAAAGTATCAGCACTTATGTAATGTGGCTAGGGCATTATTTTTTCAAGCACGGGTTCCTATATCATTCTGGGGTGATTGTATTCTTACAATCACCTTCTTAATCAATCGAACTCCTTCTCCAATCCTGCAAAATAAAACGCCCTTCACTATGCTTTACAAGTCTCCACTAGATTACAGATTTCTTAGGGTGTTTGGAAGCCTATGATTTGCTTCCACCCTTGCATCTCATCGCCTAAAATTTTACCCTCGAGCAAAGGCTTGTGTCTTTGTTGGATATCATCCTGGCATTAAAGGCTACAGGTTATATGACATTGTGACCAAAACATTATTCATTTCCAGAGATGTAATTTTTCATGAAGAGATTTTTCCTTTTCATTCTATCTCTCAAACTAATGATTTTGTTGATCAGTTTCTTCATATTGTCCTTCCCAGGCCTATCCCTGATATACCATCACAATCTCCCTCATTAGCCAACTTCCTATTACTGACTAAAGTCCCAATTATTCTATACCATCAGATCACATTGCCACTTCTTCTCCTCAGAATTCTAATTCTTCATTGCCTTCTCCCGCACTTCCTGTTATTCCTACATCTCCTGTTGTCACTCCTACCAACCCAACTCTCAGGAGATCACTTCGACAAAATAAACCTCCTTCATACTTACAAGATTTCCATTGTAATCTGTTATCTCACAATCTCATTCAGCTAATAAATCTCAGATCCCCTATCCCATAACATCACCTATGATAAATTTCCTACTTCTTATCATCATCTTCTTCTCAATATTTCCTCAAATTTTGAACCTCAACACTACCATCAAGCTGTACAACACACCCAGTGGAAGGATGCTATGTCTGCTGAATTGAATGCCATGGAACAAAACCAAACTTGGTTTGTCACCAATCTGCCTACAGGGAAGCATTCCATAGGCTGCAAATGGGTGTACAAAATTAAGTATAAATCTGATGGAACTATTGATCGATACAAAACTCGATTAGTGGCAAAAGGATCCAACAGGAGGGACTAGATTTCTTGGAAACATATTCTCCAGTGGCCAAGTTAGTAATCGTGAAACTCTTATTGACAGTTGCAGCCATAAATCAATTGCACATTGTTCAGTTGGATGTTAATAACGCCTTTCTCCATGGTGATCTATTTGAAGAAATTTACATGGACCTACCATTAGGCTACATTCATTCCACTTCATCTCATCGACAGGGGGAGCGTTTAGTTTGCAAGTTACATAAGTCAATTTATGGGCTGAAGCAGGCTTCAAAGCAATGGTTCTCTAAATT